GCACAATCGGCCTCCGCGTTCGGCAGCGTTCGACATCTGTCTCTCTCCTACTTGAGTGAGCGATGCGTCCGCGTGGACAGCTGCTATACAATAATACATTTCCATTTACCTCCTTCTCTATATCCATACAAAATATCTATCAAACAAATAAAATTAAAATTTTCTTTTGAAAAATGAAACCATTCCATCAGTATTTTCTTATGACGTTGTCACGTTCAACTATCGTCAGTAAACCGACTTTACAGACAACCGATTTTTTTTTTATTCTCTACGGTTTTGTCGAAATTTCTCCAGGATGGAGAAGGTTAGAAATGAGGACGTATTCGAAAGAGTAGGAGAACATATGGCGTTATAGAAGTCAATGAGAAATAAGCGAAATCAGTTAGTAGGGCACCTTCTAAGGAATGATGGGCTAGTTAGAGATGTATTGGAAGCAGTAATAGGAATTAAGGGGGGTAGAGGTAGATCTAGATTACATTACTGTTCACAGATATTTAAGAATGGGGGATGTTCTAGTTTTAGGGAAATGCGAAGATTAGTTCAGGATAGGAAAGATTGGTGGTGCGTATACAACCAGTCTTAGGACTTACTACCTTATAATGATGATGATGAAAATTCCATTGTTCATTTCAGCAGGGGAATCACCTGAGTAATATTTAGTTTTGTTTTGATACTTTTTCTTTTATTGCTTAAACAACTTCCCTGTAGTTTGTATTATATTGGATAAAAGTCCCCCTTTCAGTAAACTGACTCCCAATTCTCTAGGTAGACCTCGGAGCGTGACGTTGAGAGTCACTGCATGCTAAAATGACGTTGAATATGGTCATGTAAAGTTGATTGCCCCAATGATAACAGATATGTGACAATGAAACTAACTCCCCCTATAATAGTTCTCTCATTTAGAAAATTCCTGATTCCTGAACAAAAGGAATTCTTTACTATTTAATTTGAAAACAATATGACCCTATCTTTGTGTAGGATTGCATTACATTTTCGTTTGATAATTCGCTTGAAGAAACATAATTAAGAACAGTTTCAAATTTTCTGTTACCGCAAATTGCCTTATTTTGTGTTTTTTTTTCCGCAACGCCTGCAAAAATGGCAGTCGTTTGGGCTAACGCCTTTGTTAAATAAATGGTAATGAGGTTGTAAAATTCACTGTAATATATTATCCAAATTTCCTAAATCGTTTTGAGGGAAACTCGTTAGGCCAGATCATATTTCCCTTAAAATGCTAAAACGTTCGGGCCGTTTTACTTAAGGAGGCGAGTTAAATGGAAAGAAATGCCCCTTATTGTAGCGGTAATTCAGCGTTGGTAGGTAATTCGTGTGATTTATATCAATTTCAAGGATAATTAAGAGTAATACTGTGTAGAGCAAACGGTTTTGCAGATAACTGCGCCTGCTTTAGACTCTATTTAGTCCGGATATAATGGCTCCAGGAGAAATTGAGGCCGATGCGTGATGCGAAAGACGACGAATACGATGGAATGAGAGAAACATAATTTAACCAAATACAAATGAAAAATATACCCGAAAAAACTGGATGCTCTGGGAAGGAAAACATCAACAGAATCAGATAACACGCAACGTTAGTTAATGGCTGGACTAGTCAATGTTTAAATACGCTGGAAAAAAAAATCAGTTGTCTGTAAAGTCGATTTACTGACGATAGTTGAACGTGACAACGTCATAAGAAAATACTGATGGAATGGTTTCATTTTTCAAAAGAAAATTTTAATTTTATTTGTTTGATAGATATTTTGTATGGATATAGAGAAGGAGGTAAATGGAAATGTATTATTGTATAGCAGCTGTCCACGCGGACGCATCGCTCACTCGAGTAGGAGAGAGACAGATGTCGAACGCTGCCGAACGCGGAGGCCGATTGTGCCTCTTTGTCGCTCGTTCCGCGCTCTCGCTTGCACTTCAAGCCTTACATGGAACGCCTCAGAGCGAGGTAACGCCGCATGAGTCATGTTTTTTCGTGCGTGCAGCCGCCGGCTCCATCGAATTATAAGACGTTGTCACGTCAAAATCTAAAATGTTGGATCAAAATCGAAAAAGTCCGATTATAGCAACAAAAGTTCAAGGCACATTACAGAATTATACATATTAATTATTTATCGGCACAATTCCACAGTCATATCCCACGCCTTTTCCTACTATACTCTGGAACTTCTATTATCCAGGAAGATCTAGGAAGATCATAGTGTTAATTGGCTGGTAGTTTGTTAAAAGTAGAAAAATAAGGTCTCATAAAGTTGACTAGCATGATATTAAGTTGTAAAAATCATATCAGTCGTATGACGACCTCCTGAGTTGATGCACATTTTGCTCTATTTATGACGTTTCAAATTGCTGCTCACAAAGCATCTGGCTTCAAAGTAGGATTTATTCTTCAATGTTGGCTTTCCAAACATCACCGTTTTTCAAAACGCCTGGAGCCGTTAGATTTGACGATCTAGCTAACCTGTTTTAATTGCCCAAACGAGAGATTGTGCTTCAAAATATCAATGGTTGCCTAGCTGTTCGAGCAGTTACTCAGTCCTGCTGGAACCTGAGGAACCAGAATCCCTGTATGTTTTGAAAGCCAACATTGCAGAAGAAATCACCAATGTGCATCAACTCTATCGTTTGACCAATATCATTTTTTCAATTTACAACTTCAAATAAACCTTCCTTGAAAACAGACCCAATTTTTATCATTTTGAACAAAATCGCACATTATGACATTAAATTTACTTCGCCTTTTGCATTCTGGTCCAATTTGGTGGATAGGAATTGGCGAGTAATATGAGATAAAAAGAGATTTGCGAGATGGAGTAGTTGATGATAATAATATTGATAGACTTGAACTTGAACCAAGGCAGATGCTTCCGGAAGCAGCATCACTAAATATCCGTAACGGCAAAGTGTTGTTTCAAAAAGTTTCAGCTTTCATTTGAAACAGGTAGACGACCTTTTACTGGAACATGTTCATGTAAAACAAGAAGTGTTGTCCAGTTTTAAAAGGAATTGAAAACATTCCCTGAAAGAAAATCGGGCAAAAAGCACTCTTTCATAAGCTACTTTTACAACGCCGTTTCTTCTACAGCACTCACTCTCCATTTGCGAGGTAGTGCCCCCAAGAAGAGTACTCAAATATTTATGGAAGAGGTAGAAAAATAGCTTCACTTTTCTTTCGCATCTCCAAAAGGTTTATGCTAAGAGATTACCAGCGATTTCTTATTCTCCTGAAAGGTATTGTTCCCCATTGTTTCCACATATCTTTGTAAACACACATTTCAAAAAAAAAAAGCAGAAATAATGAAACAGCACGTATCGCATTCGAAAGATACCTACATCCGCACAGTA